AGCAGAGCTGTAAAGCTTGCTTGAAATGGCAATGACACGCCAAAACACAACACCAATCTGCGACCAAGTGTAGTCGCAGACCGGGAATGCAGTAACAGGCAAGTTATATTATCAACCCGGGGTCTAGATCTACTGCTTACTCAGTGATTCTCTGTTATCTAGCCAACTAAAGTGAGTGATTCTTGTTTAAAAGCAAAAGCAGAAATAAAGCAGGAAATTATTCGGTTTTCTCAAGCAGGAAAGAGTCACTCGGGAATGAGTCCCCCTAGCTCCTTAGTTAGGTTCAATTGCAATTTCCCCTGGGTTGATTTACTGTTGATTAGACTGCGGAAGATCCGACAGTAGCTTGGAATCTCTTAAGCTGACCAAGCCCTCTCAGTCTAACTATCCGGCAGACGACTAGTCTTCACCGGGATAGAAAGCTGAAGCAGTAAGAACAGAACTCCACTACTGGAATTGGATTCCAGTACAAAGCAGTAAACTGGCTAACTCTCGTATAGCCAATCTCCTACTATCGAATGATGAGACTCTAGCAACCTAATCAGATTCTATCTATCTCAGATTGCAGCAGGAATCAGGAAAAGTTGATCAGACTTCAATTGATTCAATAAACATGCATCATTCGATTAAAATCAAACAGTAATATCATCCCAAGTCATTACAATCAATCCCTAACACATAGAACTAGGGTTCTTCATCCCCAAGTGAGAGAGGGGTTCTACTCCATAGAGAGAGATAAGAAAACAGTAATCGGAGTAGTCATACTCATAATGATGAGGAAAATCTGCTCCGGGATGATGATTTCCACACCTAGGACGATCTCCAAGCTTGATTTGATGAAACCCAGCTCCAAGATGGCTTCTAGGATGTGTTCTTCGTCCTTTCTCTCTCTAAAACTCTGTTTTTGCTCAAAAAGTCCGATCCCCTCTCTTGCAGCCCGAAATTGGGTTAAAACCAGGAAATCCCGACTCACACGGGCAGGGCCACACGGCCGTGTGGCATACCCAGTTGCCCGTGTGAGTTAAAACGCTGCGTTCCACTTAGTTCGATTTTCAGGCTTCTCACACGGCCAGGTTGGCACGGCCGTGTTTGATTTCCATCTGCCCGTGTCTGCTCACGGCAAAAGTCACACGGCCAGATCACTTCGTCACACGGTCGTGTGCATTGTCAGGGCAGGCCGTGTTTGCTCTCGGCAAAACTCGCACGGCCAAAAATATGAGTTGCACGGCCGTGTAATTTGTGGGTGTGCCCGTGTGGCCTCCTTTGTGACTTGCCTCGCGCCCGATCTTCGTCCAATCGACCCCAAACTCGCTCCCGAGTCTCCATTCACGTACTAGGACCTGAAATATCACAAACAAGCACAACCTAGTGTGAATTCGGCCTAAAATGCGAGAAATCACATCTCAAACGGTGTAAGAACAGAGGTAAAAACATGTGTAATTAACGGTCTATCAAACTCCCCCACACTTAACCGTTTGCTTGTCCCCAAGCAAACCAAGTCAGACACAAGGTAAGTTTACATATCTCAATCAATCAACATTGGGGACAAGTCATAAAGGCACAGAACACGTGAATCGTACTGGTTTTCAAACATCAATACATGACCAACTTCATTAGCAACCTGGACAACCACCACAAAGGACATTCGAGTGCAGCAAAATCGAGTAAAGGAAGAGTCTCCCTTCTGTTCACCAACCAACCTAGACTTGACTCAACCACTTACTCAAAACAGTCAACTCATGCATCCAACTCAAGACATCATTATAGAGACCGAGCAATCTAGGTCCTCACCGGGGTACAAGAGTATATAGAATATGAAAATGAATCACTCACTCTCGACCAGTGGGGTCAGGGCAATTTGATGCGAAAAATGCGCATGTTATTTCTCTCAGTCCCTAACATCTCTTCACCATGATGGCAGCCTCTAAATGCTAGAGTTCACATATGGGGTGTCACCACTAACTAATCAGGAGGTCTTAGACACAGGTTCAAATGATTGGCTAGGGTCTTGGACATGGGGAAAAGGCCTTTTAGGTGGTGGAAGTATTCATAGCACAAGGTTCCACATTTCCAAACCCACACAATCACAGTCAAACAAACCGGTATTCCCTTTCTGCTATTCTGCAATGCTCAACATCTCAAGAGCTCAAGAGCGAAGGAGGCATAAATGTCAGCATTTCCAAGCCAGACTGCTAAGAAACACTACTTACTGGGCATTATTCAGATTTTTTGGTGGCGACTCTCTTTGCTTTCAATTTTTCTTTGTTTTTCTTTCATTTTCTTTGCATTTCTTAAGAGAGCCACCACTTCTGCACATATTTCAAATACCTGCCCAGCTCAACTTTTAAGCACTACCTCCAACACTCACATCAAGTTTAGCAGAAACAGCAGAGAATATGTAAGAACCATTCTGTGGAACCTTCTAAAAGATGTAAACAAGGTGATTTTTTTTCATTTCAGACCAAAAGAAAGGATAACACACGGCTCAAAAGGGCTGACTAGGGGATATGACACATCAGGACAGTCAAATTTGGTCGTGGGCTAATCCTATGCCCCCATCATCTTAGCTAGTGACAACGTGAATGCTACACATCATGGAAGAGGGATCTATCGCACAAGAAAGAAACGAGCAGGCTCAAATCTCACATGGCTACCTATATGCTCTATCTCACATTCTGATACCCTGAACTAGATGCATAAACGACTGTCAAGAACAAGTAATCAATCCAAGTCACAGTTGGTAAGCAAACAGTAATCGGAGTAACCAATGAAAGAGACTGCAGTATAGTGGCACAAGTAATAAATATCGAATCCACGGGTCTCTAGAGTTACTATTACTCAGCTTCAGTTCATTATCTAGCAAACTAGATTAAGGATTGATTAACCAAACTACTCTACTAACTAAACTAAGTAAAACTACTAATTACAGTTTGGGAACTCACTTAGGTATGATTCCCCCTAGCTCCTCAATTAGGTCCAAGTTGTAATTCCTTTTGGTTGTTTTACTGTTGATTAAACTGCGGAAGATCCGACAGTAGCTTGGAATCTCTTAAGCTGAACAAACCCTCTCAGTCGAACTATCCGACAGACGACTAGTCTTCACCGGGATAGAAAGCTGAAGCAATAAGCACAGAACTCCACTACTGGAATTGGATTCCAGTACAAAGCAGTAAACTGGCTAACTCTCGTATAGCCAATCTCCTACTACCAAATGATGAGACTCTAGCAACCTAATCAGATTCTATCTATCTCAGATTGCAGCAGGAATCAGGAAAAGTTGATCAGACTTCAATTGACTCAATAAACATGCATCATTCGATTATAATCAAACAATAAAGCATCCAAAACTTCATACAAGAAAGATCCTAACTCATGGAACTAGGGTTCCTCAAAACCTAAGTGAAAGGAAGTTACTCCATAGAGAAGAGAGAGACTGCAGAAATCTGATCTAGATCTTCAATCTCCATCTCCAAGCTTGATTCCCGAGCTTCAATGGCGAAGAAATCCTCCAAAATAGCTCCAAGAACGTTCCCAAGTCGCTCTCTCTCTCTAGGGTTCGTCCCTTGGGTGTTTGGGATCCAAAACCCAGCTCTCCCTCTTTCCTTTTGCTGAAAATCGGGTTTTAAACAGCAATTCCCGACTCACACGGCCAGGCCACACGGCCGTGTGGCTTTCCCAGCTGCCCGTGTGAGCCCTCGGTGATTTCCACACGGCCATATGGCCAGTTCACACGGCCGTGTGGGTCATGCCCGTGTGGCTTGCTCAGCCTCTATTTAATGCTTCGTTTCTCCCTCGTCCGGACTCCGAATCAGTCCCCGTTTGATCCCAGACGCTCGTAGTCTTGTCCTCTTTCTTTTCATAACAAGCTTGCATGATTATTTTTCCATAAAGTAAGGTAGAAATCCATTCTTCTTCAGGTCATGCCCGAGTTTCTTCTCCCGAATCGTCAATTGATCTCTGATTGATTTGAAACTTGCGCCTATGCTTCACTTTATGTGCTAGGACCTGAAATGTGACAAAGGAACATAACCTAGCATAAAATAGGCCAAATACACGATAATTCAAGCTCAAACAATCAAGAAACAAAGGGGAAAACATGTGCAATTACCGAGTCATCAAATCGGATCCATAGAGAGAGATAAGAAAACAGTAATCGGAGTAGTCATACTCATAATGATGAGGAAAATCTGCTCCGGGATGATGATTTCCACTCCTAGGATGATCTCCAAGCTTGATTTGATGAAACCCAGCTCCAAGATGGCTTCTAGGATGTGTTCTTCGTCCTTTCTCTCTCTAAAACTCTGTTTTTGCTCAAAAAGTCCGATCCCCTCTCTTGCAGCCCGGAATTGGGTTAAAACCAAGAAATCCCGACTCACACGGGCAGGGTCACACGGCCGTGTGGCATACCCAGTTGCCCGTGTGAGTTAAAACGCTGCGTTCCACTTAGTTCGATTTTCAGGCTTCTCACACGGCCAGGTTGGCACGGCCGTGTTTGATTTCCATCTGCCCGTGTCTGCTCACGGCAAAAGTCACACGGCCAGATCACTTCGTCACACGGCCGTGTGCATTGTCAGGGCAGGCCGTGTTTGCTCTCGGCAAAACTCGCACGGCCAGAAATATGAGTTGCACGACCGTGTAATTTGTGGGTGTGCCCGTGTGGCCTCCTTTGTGACTTGCCTCGCGCCCGATCTTCGTCCAATCGACCCCAAACTCGCTCCCGAGTCTCCATTCACGTACTAGGACCTGAAATATCACAAACAAGCACAACCTAGCGTGAAATCGGCCTAAAACGCGAGAAATCACATCTCAAACGGTGTAAGAACAGGGGTAAAAACATGTGTAATTAACGGTCTATCAGGCAACAAACGAAGCCTTGGTGGAAAGACGAGGAAAATGAGATTGCTTTTAGCTCATTTTGGCTCCCTCTTTAAAGCTGCTACTCCCGCTGAACTTCTTCGTCTAGTCAGCTGGTCTGGGTTCAATACTTGCCCTGTGTTAAATTTTTTTTATGTTTTTCATTCCATTGCTTGTTGCCGTGTCATGTCCAAGTAAAAACGAAGTGGTTTTTGCTGTACAAGCTCGGTTAGCTTTTGGTGAGAAAGATGTAAGCCGCAGGCTGTGATTTGATCTGTAGGTCCACAAACTTCAAGAGTACCTTATGTAGCTTATGAAGTTTGTTTCCCAGTAGTAGCAGCCCAGCAACCGTTTTGGCATGTGGTTTCTTCTTTGTAGCTAAGGTTGAGTTTCTTTTATGGTGTGCTCTGCCTCTGGGCTGTATGCTTAAAAGCCTTTTGTGGGCATTTTCCCATCTCCTTTTTTGATAAAACAAAGTAGAAAGGTGGATCCTTTTGTTTGGATGAAACAAATTAAAGTAGAAAGGCGGAGTCGTCCAAAATGACAAATAAGTGAAACGATTTACCCAGGCCAACAAAACAAGAGAATTAATACCTATTACACGCTACTTGAATCTGATACAACAATCGGGTGGTTTTGGTAGTCAAGAGTAACATGTCTGCCCCCTCTCACGATCCTGCCATCCAAAATGGCATCCGCCAGTGGATCTTCCACCAGTCGTGTAAACGCGCTCTTCAATGGCTTCGCTCCACAACTAGGGTCGTACCCTTCTTCCACCACCCTGCGCTTCATTCCACTCGTCACTTCAACTTCAATGCACTTCCGCCCCCTAACCCTTCCCGTGAATTCCCTCACCATAACCTCCACAATTTGCTCCACGTGTTCCCTCGTCACCTCATTGAACAACAAGACCTCATCAATTCGGCTGGATATCTGGGCCCCGAGGATGCCACTCAGAAATTGCGAGATGCTCCGTTGCACGTCGTTGCCGGTGCGAAACGTCCGAATCACTTCGGGCTGCACAATGTCGAAGGTCATGACGATGATGGCGTTCCTGAAATCTCCTCTCTGCCCCTTCTGGTTGGTGAGGGTTCCGTCGTCGACGATTCGGAGGAGGGCGTGGCCGACGTCGCGGTGGGCATTTTCAATTCCGTGGAAGAGGATTACGGAGCGGGGTTTTCGGATGATCGAGTCGGTCAAGTGGGAGACCAAGTGCTTCCGATCGTAGTCGCCCATGTCGAATCGAATTACGGAGTAATGACTGGATCCATAGAATTCGATTGCTAATGCGTTGGCGAGCTTTGCTTTTCCGACGGAGGATGGACCGGCAAACAGGAAGCTCGCAAGGGGACGGCTTGGGTTTCTTACACCGGTGCGGGAGCGGCGGGCTACTCGGCTCACTGCTTTGACTGCTTCGTCTTGCCCGATTATGTGGATCATCAGCCTTTGCTCCAAATCAGGAAGCTCCATGCTCAGACTCTGGGATCCGTCGGCCGTCTCTCTATTCCGTTTTCCCCCCTTTCTCCGGTGTAAATTGTAGCAGAATAGAGAGATTCAAATATGTTTGGAAATTTGGAATTCCCAGTAATAAAAAATGTTTCTCTGCTTAGAGCTTAACGAGGATGAGAGATTCAAGCCGGGAATGGGAGCCTGAGGAAAGTGGGGCTTTAGAGGAAGCCACTAAAAATAAAAAAAATTAGATGAAAGGAGAGAGAGTTCAGGGGAAATCACTAAAAACAAAAATTCTTGAAAGGGAAAAAGAGGATCATTGGATGAAAGAGACAATGATATCCAAGAATTGTGAAAGTAGAGCATTGTGAAACCATAAAAAATAATTATTGCAAGATTATTTCTCCATTTGGTTGTTCGGCTCCTATTATATGCATCCACTCCCCTCGCAAATCTTATTTGGATGCACATAATATTTTAGAGTACCTTAAAGATCGTCGGAGACAAGGTAAGGGTGTTGACACCATGCTAACAAATTTATTATAATGATGTTATAGTAATTATCTCTCTTTATCAACCTCTTTCATAAGTAGTTTCATTGGAATTTTATGTAAAAATTACAAAATTATCTAAAATTAATAGATCTTAATATTTCGTGCCTTAAGTTCTGGAAATATTGATGAAAAAGTTTGATACCTAATTTTTAAAAATTACAAATATGTCCAATATTATTGTATGCTTTTTTGATAAACTTATGTTATGCTTTAATGAATTTGTGATTTGCTTTTATAAACATGTGGTATGCTTACCCTCCCCCCTTCTTACTTGTGGTACGCTTTGATAAATTCGTAGTATGTTTTAATGAACTTGTGATATGCTTCTCCTTCCCCCCTTGTGGTATGCATTGATAAACTTGTAGTATGGTTTGATAAACTTGTGATATTATTCTTCTTCCCTTTACCCCCTTATCACTGGTGGTATGCTTTGTTTAATTTTTGGTATTTTTTAATAAACTTGTGGTATGTTTTTTGAAATTTGTGGTATGCTTCTCCTTCTCCCCTTCATATTCTATGTTTTTTTCATGGGGGTTCACATATAAATTAGAATTTGGTACCTAAATATAATATATTTTTAATATTTAGCACCTAAAGTTTTTTTTACATATAAGTCCTAAAAAATTGATGAAAACTTACGTGTTAGTACCTAATTTTCCCCCTTACATATTGATATATGTGAACTTTTAAAAATTTACAAATAGGTCCAATATTATGGTGTGATTTAAGAAACTTGTGGTGTGCTTTATAGAACTTGAGGTATGCTTTAATAAACTTGTGGTGTGCTTTGTGAGAATTTTTTTATGCTTACTTGTGGTGTGCTTCATGGGACTTGTGGTTTACTTTATGAGTTTGTGGTGTGGCGAGGTTGTGGGATCCTTTCCAAAGTTTGTGGTATTGTTTCTAGTGTGCGTGGTATGTGTTTGTTGGTTCCCCACCCCTTCCCCAATTAATGCACTCTTTCCAAATTAACACACATGAGTTTCCCTCCAGTTTTTAATTAATGACCAGCGTGCACCTAAGTGGTCTTCCCCTAATTAATTGTGACAAACTCATTTAAATTAAATTCATATAAACGAAATATTTCTAATCGTTGGAACTCTTGTTAGCATCAGGCTAACAAAAATATGTTAGCACCCTAATCTTTTCCTTATATGCAGTATAATTTTTTCTTTTCAGCCTATACTTTTTTCCTTACGAAAAAAGTCTATGCATTTTCTGCTCGAATTTTTTCCGACCAAGATATTGTTTGTTTTGGGTCTAGACTCGCGCGAATTTTACCGTAACATGAATATCAATGTGAAATCTTTAGAGGTCACTAATCCTTGTATTACCCCCCCCCCCCCAATGAACATAGTTACCTTCAGAGTTGTTGAAAAAATTCTTTGATGAAAACTCGAATCTAGGGTCTCAGAACTCGGGTCATAGAATTGGGAATTAATAGTTACCCCCAATGAGCATAGTTACCTTCAGAGTTGTTGCAAAAATTCTTTGATGAAAACTCGGATCTAGGGTCTCAGAACTCCGGTCATAGAATTGGGAATTAATATAAGAATTAGGAATTTTGGGGAGATATGAGGGAAGGATTAGGGGTTAGAGGAAGAGACTTAGGGAAGAAGGAAAGAAGAATTCGGCCTAGGGCTGTGTTGTAGAGAATTCAGGGAATGGAGATCAGTTCTGCCGAAAGGGGAGAGAGAGATTCGAGAATTCGATAATTCTGATTAAGCTTTCTAATGTTGTTTATGTTTGGAGAATACATAAACAACATAATCCGTAACAGCTACCCCAAATTAACCCTTATTGAAGAAATGCTACGTTCAAAATCCCCCAAAATAATCTAAAAAATCCAAATAATATACAAAATACCATAAAAAATAAATAATATCCGAATTCGATAATCGATAGAAACCTCCTTAGAAGCAACCTTACCCTCAAGGTTAGGTCAACTTTGTCCTAGTCTGCCTAGCCATCCTCTGTGGGATGCTACTTTGCTTCATCATTCTAGCTTCCCACGAGCAAAATCAGGTGGCTATAGGCACACTGATGACCCACTATATACCTATCGTTGCAGTTGAAACAACGTCCTACACAGCTCTTCTACTCCATTTTCCGCGGTTTGACAAGGTCCGGGTCGAGCCGCCGCTAGCGTGACGGGTGCAACAGGGGTCACGACTACTCCGTCAGTGCCTGCTCCTCCACTTGATCCACTGGTCGTCTTCTGAAAGCGACTAGTGTTGCTCCGACAGATAACTTGTTCCTTCTTTCTACTTGCAAGTCTAAAGGTAACTCGTAGAGAGTTAGGCCAAACACCTTTGTAGCTAAAACTAATTCTGGCCTCACGCTGGCCATGCACAAGCCAACCGAAGTTTCCTCTGATATCCCTACTCCCCAACTTTAGAAACTCAGCCTGCATCCTGGTATGTATCAGTATGTCAGTTACTTTGGCTTCCATCCTTTTGCACTACCAAACTGGAACCTGTGTTCCTCTGGAACCTAGGTCATGTGATCACCATTTCGGCATCTACATATGAACTCTGCATCTATTCCCACCAGTAGAGGGCATCTCCCACTAGGTAGAAGGATGCCATGTGCGCCTTCATTTCTTATCTAGTTAAATGGTTCTTAAACCGTTGATATGATGCATACAACCATATTTCAACTTCCACTTGACAATTAAAATTTCAAAACTCAATGGCCAGAGGTTTGGCCATAAAAATCAAATCATCATCTCCATCAAAAGTGCGGTCATAACCACCATACCTGCCAATGTCCAGACTACACCTATGACCCTGATTGTGCTCGTGCTCTCTCTCCATCTTTTACGGGTCTAGGAACTCCCAATCATCCAATTCTTCCCATGAAGACCCATCATGCCATCCAAGTTCAATCATCAAGCCTTGCCCTATCTTCAACTCCCTCCCGTAATAGTAGCCGCACCTTTGGGAGAATTCATAAGAGGATAGACCAAGTCAGCTCCCTCGCATCCGACCTTCCAGCTTCCTACACCTCTGAGGTCATTGTCTGGTCATGTTGGTTTGGACCAGTTTGAACTGGTCCTCTCTAACCGAATTGGTATGGATCGTCACCCCTGCCTGGTTCTGGTCCCGGTCCCTTGCTCGGGCATTTTGTCCCTACATGGTGCAAGATGTAATGAAACACGTTGGAGAGATTAACGTGTACAAGTGAACTTCCACAAGATGGCACCTTCCAAGCATGAGTCGAATCCTTTGCATTGACATCTGAGCGATCACCTGTGCAACACCAAAAAGCATAACACTAGAAAAATAATAAGATAAACACCAAAAATGACATCCAAAGAACCAATGAGTTCCATAAACATAGTGTCGCAGCCGTCCCGTCCGGGGGGTCCGACGTCGTCGCGTCGGCATTTTTGGGAGTCGCCATCGATCTTACTTGGAGTGGATCGAACACTCTTAGGATCGGCTCTAACCTTAGGGTCAGAACCGAGATATGGTCTGCGAAAATGAAGTTCTGGGTTCGGGAGTACGGTTACGTGTGGGGAAGTCAAGCAACACCCCCACAACGCCCTAAATCGGTACTACTTAAGTCGATAAGTTTTTATGCGAGTTGGGTGTATTTTAGTAATAATTTTGTAATTTTAGGGGTCCCACTGGACCATTTAATGATCTTATCGTATTAGTTGTAATTAATTATACGCCCACTGACGTAAAAATTTAAAGATAAAGTTAGTTGATTAGTTGGACTCGAACCTTATCGGTTGCCTACGTACCCGTTAGACGGGATCAAAGTCCACGTAGTTCGTTTGAACTTTGATAGTTTAATTGTGACATTTTCATCACGTTCCACTGATCGTGATTTTCGTATTATAATTTATGTTAATAAAATTTAATTTGATTACTATGAAATTATGAAAAGAGAATATAATAATTTAAGTTATTAGGGAGAGGCTTGACTCGTATTGGAAAAGTAACGAGATAAACTTAATCCGCATTTGCCATTTCGTATTAAGAACTATAAACAAATAAACTTAAGCGGGATGGTTAATTTAACACACGATGGGCCGGCAGCCCAACTGGTATGACTGCCGCTATTAATTAACGTGCGTGCCACACAACACGAGTTCGAAACTCGGTAAGAGCCTTAATTTTGGTGTTTTTTCGTTTTGGAACTGAAATGAAGAAGGGTATCTTGGTAAATGAACGAAAACACGGTGGTAGGGAGGGGTAATATTGAGGAAACCCTAAGGGCATTTTTGCCATTTCAAATAATAGGGTATATAACCTTCTCTTAGCAAAACCCTAATCTGCTCTAACCCTAAGCGGCGGCCGCCCTCTCTCTCATCTCCCTCTCATTTTTCCTTCTCGATTCTTCTCCTCTCTTCTTCGCTCCCAGAGAAAAAAACAACCTAGCCTTTCTCCCTCTCGTCCTCATCTTCTCCAGAGAAACCTAGCCGCCCGAAACCCTAGCCCCCAAATCGAAACCGCCGCCTCTTCTCTCGTCCCTCATCTCGGTCAGAGAAACCAACCCTAGCCTCGCTCAAAACCGCCGCCGCTCTCCTCTCTCGGCTCTCTCCCTCTCGACTTGATGAACGCGAGAAACGACCCCGCTCACCGGATTAAAAAGAAAATCGATTTGAGTAAGA